TCTGATATAATGTCAGGTAATGCTGCTGTCGGAAGGCTGAATCAGCTTGAGGTGACAAGTACTCCCCGATTAACCGTTATTTGTGCTTAAGTTCATCCGCCTTATGTTAAGTATTTTGCTAGAACGTGTGTTTTTTCCATTAAGTGGTGAAATTTATTTTCGCCCGTTGTTTATTGACAAAAAATAAGTGTACATTGGCCACGTCTTACCACCGTGCATGTATTTGACTGAAAACATTTGACGCAAGCTTTGTTCCTATCTAGTACTCAGGCAACATGGCTTTTGTATTGGTGGCTCTGTGCGTGGCCATCTCGCCCAAAATTAACCAGTTTTTTGTCCCTGCTGGCAAAACACACTTTTGGATGGCACGCTTTTCTCTACGTTTTCTAAAGTCGGTATTTTGCAAATTTGCTAAACCCATTTGACCCTTGATTCCGAGTTAATCGCTTCCCACAGTTGAACTCCTTCCCGAGTGCTTAGGATCAGTAGTTGGTGCTGGTGCCATTCGTTTTCTCAATATTTTTTTACGGGCGCACGGACAATCAGCCGTCTGTGGGGTCTCATCTGTAATCTGCTGACCACCCAGCCGCTGCTCAAGCCTCACACATCGTACCAGGTGTTTGTCCAAGTGTATGTACTTGCGATTTTAAAATTTGCTGGACTTGTCAGCGTCATCATAGACCTTGCCTCTTTCGTCGGTGCATGTGTCAATGTAATTACCGCTAGAAATTTATCGTCAGTGCTTACGAAATGGTTTGTTTTGTTTCATGACCGTCAATATCTTCAATTACCCAAAATGCCTCCTTGAGAACACTTTAAAAACTAATTTTGGTTAGTCAAGTTGCAATTAACTCGGAGAAGACCCGAACAGTCGTGTGCCCTGTCTCCAGGAATTCAGCTCTTGTACTTCACAACCTAATGTTCTGCTTCATTAGTCACCTTGCGTAATTACGATTTTTGATCCAAGTTTTTAAAGTAATACAAGCCTATTTTGGGCCCTTTGCACTTTATAAGCCTTAAACACTACTTAATTCCGTACCCTTAAAGTGGTCTGGGAATAAATTGGAGTATTGTTAGTGAGAAAGTCACTTCTCAGTGCTGGTTTAATTAGATTTGTGGTGGTTGTCGATCCCTTCGGTTGTGAAGCCCCGTGAGCTTGCTTCTAACTCATTGAGCGCCATGAGTATCCCTCAATCGGGTTGAATTCCCCAACCCAATTTATCTTCGATCCAAATCGACCCGAAATGAATTTTGAACTAAAGGCTTGCAAAGGCACAACTCTGCCAGCTTTTTTATTCAATTATTATGCACTTGCGGCAAGGTGCAGATTCTGTTTTACGGAAGGTCCATAGTTCCATGTACGTCAAACTTTTTATTCAGTGTTTTTTAAATCAATACTTTGTTGGACTTATTAATTTTGTGATTGGGAGATAGGTGAGGATTTTGTGTGCATTGGCTTGATACTAACGCCTCATTCCTCCGTGTTTTAGGTATCAAACCGTTTTCCTGTAAAATTTGTGGCTCTGTTTTCTCCCAAAAAGCTCACCTGTCTGCTCACATTAACGTCATTCACAAAGGTTAAGTCTATTCCATTCTTAGGCCGACTGCATAGCCCATTTTGTTCTTGCCTACCGTCCGTCTACTACCGAAACTGACAGTTGTAGCGCTTTTCTCAATGCCCTTTCAAGGACAGCTTTCGACGTCCAAGGTGTTTTGGTCTCATGATTTGTTTATATTTCAGGGATTAGGCCTTTCGCCTGTGATGTATGTCAAAAAGCGTTTACAAGTAAGGCCTGCATGAAGTTGCGCCGGGCGTCTGTTCATGAAGGTATGAGATGCATCTTTTTCTGCTGGCGATTTTCTTAGTCTCCACCAAGCCACGTGTTTGTTGTTAGATGCTAGTTTATCGGGGGCCCTGGATGATGATTGTGGGTGGTGCTCGTGCTGGGGGTCTGTGGACGTTACGTTTGCCTACAGGTGTGTCTGGTTTAGCCCGACAAAGGAAAGTTTTCACAATTACAGAACCATACGCATATTCTGGCAAGCTTAGAGGAGCACTAAAATACTTTGAAGTACCTTTTCTAGTGATAGTCTGATGTATCGACTGATAAACTAGAAGTGGGTCATCCTTTTTGCGTGCCGTCTCTTCGCCGCAGTAGAACATACTCGGGGCGAGAGCCCATTACAGTTTGCTAAAAGTCTATTGATATGACTTCATCGTAGTTTAAGCCACCTTTCACTCTCCTATTTGATCACGTGCTGTAAACCCGTCTATATTATAGTGCTCTAGGGGCGATTTTCCTGTTGCTTGTCGGGTATCCTCTGTGCTCAATAACAATGGGCGCCAGTAACCCACTTTAATCACAACATTGTGCTATCCAAACCGTGCGTATTCCCGCTCAGGTCTCGACTATGGCTGTGAAGAGCAGTCTTAGTGATACCTTTGTGGGTTGTCGTGTGTCGTTAAGGCACCTTTCCTCTATTGCCTTATTCACCAAGCACACGGGTTCGCCCCTAGAGCTTCAGGGCAGCTCCGACGAAAAAACCATGGAGTGAAATACGTTCATGGGGCGGTTTCGCTCTACTTCCCAATTGCCACTGTTTGAAATAGGATTCACGAGCATTGATGAAATGAAATGCAAATTAGTTTTGTTCATCTTCATTCCAATGTACAAGAGTAGTCCAAATCAAGTCATCTAATAGGGATCAGCACAGGGTCGGGTCAAATCCCCAAATTGTTGATCTCAATGACCTCGAAAAGTCAAACGGTGGATGGCCAGTTCTAGGAAGCTTCTAGTTCCTAGGTAGCTACACTGATGGTCAGCTGTGCCGCAAAATGGCTGATTTTGTTCAAATATAAAAATACTATATCATTGGAATTAATGCAATGGAATAAGTAAATGTGACGTTGCGGAATTTACTAAAATACATGAGTTAGCGATAAAATTGGTTGTAGTGAAAATCATAATTTCCAGCAGAGCCCCCGAAATCCCGTGTCTGTCTCAAAAGCAAACGGAATATGATGCTAATTCAATTATGCTGTGTAACACGTGGTCACTTATTCTCTTTGCGATATCTAATGTTATAATTTGAATGTTCGGAAATACAAAAAATGTGACAAAAGGCACTGAGGAAACTAATACCGACTTTAATATCAGCTGGTTTTGGAACTTCTTCACGCAAAGTTTAGCCACTTCCTAGCAGTTCACATGGCTTCTCCGGTATGCCTCCCGCAACAATTGCGCCTTAGGACGATGTCACTCACTCCCCAGTGCCTTCAATCAGAAGTTACGCGTCTAAATTCGCAAAAGAGGCAATATTGTTGTGCTTGAAAATTGGCGAAATGAATTACATGCTTTACGATTTTACTGTGTCAAAAGGGCTAAAATAAGGGTCGTCTTTATCCGCTTTAGCATTTTTGCATTTGTCACGAGTTGTTCACTGTTGTGCTGTCACCTTTGGACCTCAGCGTTGGATCTCTTTGGTGCGCCTACACATGTAGTTGACTTGATCATCGGTGATCCCTGAAATGTTCTACCCAGATGGCAGAGGTTTGAAGTGGTCGAGGTCGTGTTTATCCCTCCTTTCTCTGGTCTTTTTTTCTCCAGTCGCCTTTTCCAGCCTCCCCACCAAGTGCGCATCTTCCACCCTCGTTGGTTTATTGGCCTCATCCAAAGGCTCCCTGGCAGTCTCGGGAGGCTCTCTTAATGGAGCACAACTTCACATTCGGCTGTAGCATTTGCTTATTTCTAGAGCAACTTAGTTTTGTCTAAGAAATTGCCGTTTTTTGTAGGGAGGAAACGGCACATCTGTGCACCGTGTAACATCCGTTTCCAAACGCCGTCTGAACTGCACTCACACCAGGACACTCTACATCGCGGTAATTATTTCTAGCTCATTCCATCATGCCTTTTTTGGTTAAAGAGTTGTCTTCGCTTAAATGCTACCTCTCATAACTAGCCAGCTTTTCATAGGTTTTCTTCTCAAGTACTGATTTTTACCTGTGTAATGTTTTCAGTTTTTGTGGGCAAGAAAGGGCTTAGAATCGCCTTAAGTCGATGTATATTCCCAAAATGTCTGTGGCATCAAAACAAAGTTTGGCCATTAATCAGTGTTGATTCAAATGAAAGACCTGTGTGCCAATGTCTAGAGATTTATTCCACTGCAATTCATGTCAATCTCTTTCCCCATCTTGAAATCACCCGCTTTTCCTTTTGCTCCGGTAGCGAAGTGTTCACGTTATCGGTAAAGTTGATTTAAACGTTTGCTTTACATTTTTTTTGTTTCCGCCAACTGGTGAGGGACCCTCGTTACCAATATTCTGCTAGATTTGGGGCCTTCTTTTCATCTCCAAATTGTCAACTTCGTTAACACAGCGAGGCAATTATCCCTTGGTCGTTTTGTGCACGTCGTGCCTAGATCAGTAACCCGGCCCGAAGCATTCGGTGGACTAGGCGCTAGTTTATACACATTTAGTTCCGTGTTCTTCCAATTTCAACAACGTCGCTTTCAGTGTCTTTATTGGGTTAATTTAGGATCTGATTCGTGTTAGTTTGTGCCTATGTTTCACGAATTCTTCACCTAAACCTAGCTACTGCTAAAATTATAAACGTTGGGGTTATTCCTTCAAAGCGGGCAGGGTTAGAACTTCTGAATGAATTGGAAAAGGGGAAGGAATTCGTCGTGTCTCTCGTCGTTACACCTAATCCACTGTGGGCAAAAAACAATGGTGTAGATCTAACGCTTCACTATTTTGCATTTTGGGCGTGGTTTCGGTCGACCATGAATAAACCTGGGCCGTTTTCGTGACAAGACGACAATGTACTTTTTTGTATGAGGGCTCGCTCTCCTGTGGGTGGGGCTTTTTATTCGTTCATTTTTCATGCAGATTTAGACGTGCCGCATCACCCTCTTCCCCCTTCAGCCGTTTCCCCAAGTCTTTCGTGCGCATCCTCTTTAGTGGCTTCGACTTCCCCTCTCCTTAAGCTGTCCGGCTTTCTATGCCCTTTTTACCTGGTGTTTTTTATCATCTCTTCCCAGACTTGAGGCCGTTCGCCCGCACCCAGTGTGAACGCACTTTCACCGTTCAGAGCTCGCTCATCTCGCACATTGCTGAAGTTCATGGAAGCAAGTTTGTCTCATTTTCTTCCAGGTCGAATGCAAAACTGGGAGTTTTCGTTTAGAGTATTGGCAGCAACGCGCAGGCTCCTTTTTTGCGTGCAATTTGTTAAAGTAGCGTAGAGATTTGTCAAGTACTCAGCTCCGATTTGTATCTGTGGTTTCCATTTCCTTATATCTAAAAGTGAATCAATCGAGTGATGCTTTAAAACGCCATTCCACCTGAAATGCTTGCTGTGTCATCAGATCAAAGGACATTCAGCAAATTTATTCACAACTTGTTTTCTCTTTTTTTATAGATCTCTCGATTTTCTTGTGTTCACTGCAACAAAGGCTTTACAAAGAAACACTATCTCCTGGTTCACGTCGAGGCTCAGCACCTCGGTATGGCTCTGGCATCTTCTTCATCCACCTTACTTCTTTTGCGACCTTTCTTATCATCATCGGCTCCCTCTGTTGCCGGTCTTTGAGATAACTTCTTTATTGCAGTCTTGTTTAAAATCTGGAAGTGTGCCCGGCCTGATCCAATTGCTTCAGGTGTCACCGTCTGAGGGCGACCTTGATTTACAACAGGAGCCGTTGTGCGTATGACACACCTGACCAAATTTGTGTTAGTGAGCCCACTTGTAAAAATACATTGAGTCGATGACGATTGAGGTCATTTTCTACAATCATTCCTCGTACCAGACCTCTTCCAATTAATTTTTTTGTACCGTCTAGGGAGCAAAAATTTCCCTTTTATGTTAAACTTGTCTTTGTGAAATCATCTTCAAGGCAAGACCACTAGCATCATTTCAGGGATCCCAGAATGAATTGCAAAGTTCCGGGCCAACCGTAATTTCCCATGCCTTTCAAACCTCATTGCGCTGTTGTAGGTCTACGCCCATACAACTGCCCCTACTGCTCCAAGTCGTTCGCAAATGTCCGTTTCCTCAAGCGTCATATGAATGGTGTTCACTACCGTAAGCCCCAGTCCTAGCTCTCGGTCGTGATTTGAGGTGATCGTACTTAATCTCTTTATTCCGTCTTTCAGGACTCACTCCTTTTGAGTGCACCATGTATCACGAAAAATTCGCTTACCGAGGCAGCCTCTATCGCCACAAACTCACCGTCCACATGGGTACGAGCGCTGTCGTCTGTCTACCCTTCATGTCCTTGCTCACACTATAAATCTTGATTGGGTGTGAATCTAACCCGCGTTCTATGCGTAAATTTAGACCTAGTAACCCATTTTTGTCTTCCTCCATTCGCCCTTTCTTTAACCAATTCTAGTCAACTACATTCGTATATGTTGCAAATTTATCGTGTGTAATTTACTCTACTCCCTAACGACCAAAACGTCAGCGTAGTCAGGCCAACATGAAATCTAATTTGTTCATTCCTTGTTCATGCACCCATGCCATCGTTCTTTGACCATCCAAATTCATACAACTTCCTTAATTGAAGATTTCCGATTACCCTTACCAAACGCCAAAACATGGACGTTTCCACGAGGTGGATACATTGGTATTTGTCGTTTAATTATTAACTTTAGCAGTGAAACGATTCGAGTGTGAGATTTGCGGTGAAAAGCTGGCAAGCAAACAAAATCTCCAACGTCACATCAATTCCAAGCATAAAGGTAATTGAACTCCCGCTTCATTTTTTTCACTCTTTCAAATCGCAGTGTTTGAGAAGCAAATGTTTTTTTTTAAATTGCAGCTCAGAAATGCCACACCACTTTTCTTAAATTAACTCAGTTTTGACTATAAGCACTTGCATTGTTTCTTTCCGGTTGGTTACTGTCCTTTCTTGCTGATCATTTATTTCAGTTACCTACATAATTCCTATGGGTCCAATGCTGACCAATCTTTTGGGGTTGGCTGAGTCTGTGGAGCAAAGAAGACTGACTTGGTGGCAAATGATTGGTCAACACTTTGTTTTAAAGGTTTCCAACATTGGATGTTCATGAAGTTACCCGCACCTTAGGCCCATGTTTGCTTATTACTGTTTCAAAAATTATGGATTGTATACGAAATCATCGCTGAAGTCGGTAGCGTGGCTGCTAGCCTTTCCGAGAATCCTCTCTACCTCTGAGTTGTTGCGACGCCTAGCCAACTTTTGATATTTTTATTTAAGACTTGGCAGGTAGTTACTAAGCATACAGTAGCCCCAACTGGGGCATCGCTATTGATATTTTCCATTGCTTTTTCTAAAGTTCTGCCCGCCCTTAATGATCCCGACACAATGCATTAATAAATATTCCTGTCTAGGTCTTCGACCGTTCCATTGCACGCTGTGTGAAAGGCGCTACGCCAGCAAGCAAGATCTGGAGAAACATACTCGAGCAGTTCATGAAAGTAAGTTTTTTACCTCAAGTGCTGTTAAGGCTTCGGCGTGGTCTTGTGACGGCGAACCTTCAAATTGGGGCTCGTCGTATCACCAGGGTGACCTATGCCAAGGTCAACGATGGCGTTTCCCTCATTCATACACCCGTGCACCGCACACTGGCCCACCTACCCACGTTCTAGTTTTGGTGCATAATTTATCTGTTCTATACTTTTTTTACTTTGACAAGTGTATTTTTGCTCATTGTATAGTCTTAACTTGGTGGTCCTTGATTGGTCTTCCATTCTTTGGCTTAATCTATCGCCTTTCGTCCACTCGAATATCTGCTTTAGAAAACCCTTAATCTGGCGTTTGGTGTCCGCCCATGCAATTAGTGCGTAGTGCTAGGGTTTTCCTTCGCCATCCTAAATAAACGCTTTCCTCGTTAAGTATGAATGTTGCTTAGGTCTTTAGCCATCTTTGATCGGCAAACGACCCCTTCTTGTGCCAGCTGTGGTTGAGTCATTATCGCAGACCATATATTGTAACATCTCGATGCATACTGCGGTGATTTTGAAGTGTGAATTTCGTCCAGTGATTTCGGTGCTTTTACGTCCTACGCAGTTTAAATATGCGTGTTTGCTTGGTGGGACATGTGCGTATCATCTCGTCCAAGCTTCTCCACCGCCTGTGTAGTTAAACTCGTTCCACAGTTCGTGGCTGTTAAATGCACAATACTTGATGTTGCACCATCACGACAGTGCTTCAAGTCATTGGCATACTCCCTGTCGTGGAGTTAGTAAAGTTGAATAACTCGTTGAATAGTCAAATGACTACATGTTTAGCTAGACATGTCTGTTTATCTGTAGCGGCTAGATATTTAGCCCTACCTTACAACCCTCTAGTTAACAGACCGTAACTACCCGAGGAAAGGGGGAAAAGATGCGACAGAGAACACGACCGTGTATTAGTGTCGAACCAGCCAAGTGGCTTTGTGGGCGTATGAGTGCGCGTGCGTAACAGACGAATGCTGACAGAGGCCAATAACAAAAAGGGGTGAGTCGTCGGTCCACTCGGGCCCTCATGCACGCATCACTCACGCGGGGCGGCTGTCAGTCCACTACATATCTACCTGGTAGAGGGGATTGAATTGTGTTGTTGAGGCTGCAATGAGCTGTGCACCGTGACTGCTCATAGATTTGAACGTTCTCTATTTAATTGGTCTGACTGTGACGAGAACTCAAATTTTTCATTTTTAGAGCTCCGACCGTTTAAGTGTGAGCGTTGTGAAAGTGCCTTTGGCTTCCGAACTCTTCTCAGCCACCACTTTAAAACCGTGCATGACAGTAAGTGTCTTTCTTCACATCGACTCTCTTTTTGGACTGCTTCGTCTGTGTCTGATGTGTAGCGCGTGAATTCGTGTTGTAGTGCACACTCGGTAAGTGGACTCGACCATTGTTAATGAAAACGTAATCACCTCTTAGAACAATCACGTTTGTGGCCGTTGATCTGGACAGGACATACGCACAACCACGCACTAGACACAGTATTGTTTGTCGTGTGTGAGTGGGGTTGGTACCGCTTATTGCGTCGGAATTCGTGTCAAGAATTACCCTGTGTAAGGGTTTTGTCCACTAGTCAGAAGCCCTCGGCCACGATTGAAATTCACAACAACCAGCCAATGCACCCCTATTAAACCCCTTCCAACCTATTTCTTTCGGATTTTGTTCAGGTATTTATTTTCACAAATAACTATCAGCCAAAACTTTGAGGGCCACCTTTGCGCATCCGTGCAGCCCGCGACGTCATTCAACTCGTAGTCTGCTGTGTGGGTCTTGATGGGACCTTTTTATTCCGGTCTGCAAATCCGCTGCGTAATTTTCTGCTGCAACACAGTGACCCAATATTCACCCATTATTTACTTCAATCTGCTTCAAACCCAGGCCTATGTGTGTTGCTAGCTCGAGTGTTAAGGGCTCATTTTTTTAAGCCCTCTTTTGGGTGTTCAAAGATTTGCTTATGGGACCGTATATGATCAGCTTTTTGACAAAATCATTGGAAATCGTAGTGGTTTCATCAATCTTGGCAAATATTGACAACATAGGTAACCTGACCAAGCGCGTTGTCGTGTTGGATGGACTCTAATTCGGGGTCATGTACTTCAACAGCGCACGTGCACATCAGGACTATCCCTCGGTGATTCTCGTGACAATAAATAGACCAGTCATCGTTCCAACGTCAAGCTTTGGCTTTGTATGGCATATTCTCATTTTAGAATGACAAGCATGCTTTCATGATTATAACTAATAATTCCCGCAAAGACCCATTCCTGCCTAGTGTTTGGCTAAGGACAAACACATTACACTAGTTGGGAGTTGCGTGCAGGTTAAGTTGACTCCGGCGTTTATTCGAGCCTGTGCGTTTTTATTAATTCAGGGAAGTTTCATAATAGCCCAGGTAATTATTGGCCTTCAGCCTGTGACGGAATGTCGAGTGGGAAGGACGAGGGGTCACTCTTGCGGCCTCGGATCTGTTTTGTCCTTAATGGGACACGCGGCTAAGGTTCACGGCTGTCCACTGTAATAATGACCTCAGCCTGGTGCAATTCGGTTGGCATTTACTTTTTGTCCCATAGACGCCTGCGTCTAAATCCTAATGTTTGATTTAGCTTCAGTTTGACTGTGCTTGATGCACCGATTCATTGGTTTTTTGCACAACACCTTTTAACTCACTCTCATCTCTCGCCTCAGGTATGTAGGTTTTGACTTCTGCTAACAGACTAATAGGCAGTGGCATCGTCAGGACTTTCTCGGCTTCAAGCATGCGACGCACGTTCGATCGCTTGCGTATTCATTACTAGTCGAATATAAAAATGATCCATGTTTTGGCACAGCTGGTGTATTTCAGCTTAATATTTTCGGCAGTCTCACTACTTTTTCTCGGATCATTTTTGTCTCGTTTAGAGATTCGTCCCCACAAATGCCCCCAATGTGAGAAAACTTATGCGAAGAAGCATACGCTCAATCTCCACCTACAGCATGTTCACTCAAGTCAGTTACCGTGTTATTGCCGCGCACTATTTCGCGAACAGTCTAATGTGTCGGAGGCATTACGATTTTTCTTGCATGTCGTTAAAGTAACTGTCTTGAGATATCCAGTTAAATTAATCCACCAAGAAACCTATCATCTTAGCTTCCAGTATTAATTTCCTCAGTTCCCCTTTTTCGACCACATGCGCTCATTCATCCCTATTTTGACCCTATATTAGTCGCGGCAGGGGAGTTTGTATCACACCAAGCTGTTTTTACCGAGCTTTTGTTTGGTGTTATTTAGATGAGACTGAATCGCATGCCTGTGAATTTTGCAACAAGACGTTTGGCTTTCGACAGATGCTGAGGCTTCACGAGAACCGCATGCACTGCGGTAAGTCTCTTTCCCTGGTCTCCACCCGCGAAAAGCTTTCGCTAATCGGGCTAAAACCACAGTCGGTTTTAATGGCAGCATTTTGTGGATTGCTTATGACAAACTGACACCTGGTTTGGTCGTTTATTGTCTCAAGTCATTCTAGTGCAATAAATTCCCACATAACTGACAATAATTCTGTTGGCATAAGTTGTTTTAGCCAAAGCTAAAGTTTTTTGGTTTTTTTTCCTCTAAAATTTAATGCAAATAAAAATTCCGCCTTCCTATGTCTCTTGATTTTTTGCCATGAAAACGAGTACTGACGCGCAGAATGCTGATAAGGTTAGAATGCAGTTTAGACAAGTCTATTCTGGGCTTGCAGTTCCTTAATTAGGAAATGGCTTGATGTATCTCATCACGATTTGCTTTCCAAATTTTATGGTATTCAATTCAAAAGCGCTATATTTGAAGCGGAAGAGCTTACTTGATTCTCGTCATTCAAATGTCTATTTGAGTAAGAAGCTTCTTTTTTAAGGCATCACTTGAACTGGCTGTATTTAAGCCATTTTTTCAATGTGTTTGTTGCTGAGCTTCAGCAATTCAGTATGAGACAGCCCTAGCTTACAGTTGTACCGCACCACACGTTTCGAACATGTTAGGATCTCGCGTTGGAACCCAGAAAGTTAGAAATTAAACGAGTAACTTACTATGCCCTACCACTTTGACTTTTTCTAGCTTAAAAACCGTGCTTTTTGGCCCATTCGGTTGTCATCTTGGTTACTGTAATGTATGCCTTTTGGCCACAGAATTGTATATTGAAGTTGAAGATTAAGCCCCTATCTCTTCCCTTTATCTTGCTGCTTTTTAAATAGTCGAAAACTTGAATATAATGTAAAAAAATAGTCGTTCATTTTGTGTTGTTAGTCGACGGATTGTTAGTTCTTAACTGTGACACCCGTGAAGTACTGCAAACTGCCTACTTTTCTTCGATTACAGGCGATAAATTAGGTAAAAGGTTGTGTGACACCTTTGTCAACTACCACCAACTAATGGCAACGTGAATTCTATTTATATACCGTTTGCTCCCTATCATGGTCTATCGGCTAATCGTCTAAAATGAGTTGTGCACTTTTATTTTACTAGTACACTGAAAACGCGGGGTCGAATAAAGTACACTAGGAAGAGGCGACAGATATTCGATACCCCAGGTGAGTGTTCCTCTTGTCATTGCTGCATTCTGACGCTATGTGTTAGTGAACAAATATATGGTGATTTTTGTTCGACATTTATGCTTCTCCTTTATGTGAACTTTGAAGGTCATTTCCTGGGGGTCGATGTCGGTACAGATTGCGTGTGAGCACCAAAGACATCTTCAGTCACATTAGACCGAGGCATGTTGTTTTTTTTATCTCATTCACCCCATATCCGAAATTGCGTGCCTAAGTAACCGTTTTATTTAAAACTCTGCCTCATCATGCTGGTGGTATCCGTCTCAGTTGTTACCAACCTCTTCGCTTACAGTTAAATGCGTTTCGAGTGCCATGGGTCCTTATCCTGTCGGTTGTGACTGATATCTCACAAACTGTAAAACCACTCAGTAGTGATATATTCTTACTAATCGCGTTTTGTTACTGCCCCCCGACATTCTCGCGGTATTTTCTTTGAATTCTTCGTAGGACTTTAGCATGTGAGACTATGCAAAAAGTCTAGCTTATGTATTCCAAAGTTATAGACTGTTAATTCCAATGGGACGTGTTTTGTGGTTATGGAACAGTCATTTTAGACCACTATGATGCTGTAT